AGCTTCTGCTGGCTTGCTCCAAGTCAAGTTTAATCTTGGACCATGCATCTTATTTGGGGCAACTTCCTTATAGGCAAACGAAAGAGGAGCGCTCGGCGCTATTAAGAAAAAAATTAGGGATCAATATCAGTATCTGGGCAACTGCTCACCTACCCCTCCCCTAACCCAACATTAAGCTTAACTTTTTGTCAATTGACTGTTGTTGAGTTAGGGGAGGGGTAGGTGGGCACTTGCCCAGATACTGATATTGATCCAAAATAAGTATGGGAAGTAATAAGAGTTTATTTGCATGCATCATAACGCTCATTTTCCTCATCACCTTGCATTTCCTTCAACTATGACGCAAAAAAGAATATTTCAATTTCGAAGATCTGACACCAATGAGACCAAACAGAGCAATATTTCGTCTGCTATATTTTGGTGATAGACTTAGTTTCTCCTGTGAAACATTCAAATAGGAAACACAATTAAAAAAGTTAAGAATAAAAGGCCTTAAATGGATTTTAGCCTCGCTCTGTACACCCATATCATGAAATACCACCCTCGTAAGATTAGAAGATATATGGCGTTTCTTCTTATTCTTAGCTATGTGCCATGAAGTCGACAAAAACCTGAATCTAAAACTACTGAAACTACAAGAAGCATTTAAAGGTGATCTGTCTAAAAAAAAAGGCATCCAAAGAGATCCGTTTTCAAAGACTCGGAGACTTGCTATTCATTTGTTTATAATTTTTACAGTAGTTTAAGGCCTCACTGGAACCTATTCTACAATTTTGAAATGTTATTAAAAGACAACGTTAAATTTGTTAAGACCAATAAACAAGAGGAATAATCCTACCATCTTCCATTGTCCTCTCGACAGCAACAGCACTCCTTGGTCCATCACCCGTAGAAGTGAACGCTAACAGTTGAAATTCATATTCAGAGTATTTCTCAAGCCCAGTCACATGTTTAAAACGAATTTGTCGGTTGCTCATAGTTAAGGCGGCCTGTAATCCTGCCGAGCCTCTCTTTTTAAAGAATAATTTGAATCCTGTGATGACTCCATTTCTGGAGTCTGCTGGTGGTAACTGCCAAGATGCTGTGATACTGGTAGAGTTGCTCGCCGTCACTGAGAAGTTACTTGGGGCTTTCGAAGGAACTGCAGTTAAACGAAGAAGTCCTTATGTAACCTAATTAGATTCACACCACAAATTATGATCCTTCATGCAATATTATCATTACTGATTGTTCATCAGAAAAAGATTTAGCCCCAATGTTATGTTAAAGTTGGTTATTCTAGCAACATAAGTGTTGTAGGTAACGTTAGCTAGGTTACCATTGTAGATAGGATTACTTTTATAGCTAAATCCTTATTAGTTTACATTTCTTACCGTCCTCCTTCGTTCTCGCGAC